TTTAACCCCTAGTAAAACTAAGAGCTTTCGAAGTTACTACTCCCTAAGGTAGGTAAGTCGTCTATACTATACTATTAGAGAGACGTCCTATTTAAATGCTGTTACAACGTATAGGTATTAGGGGCCTATATATTATTTATTATTAATATTAAGAGTGTAGAGATCTGTTTTATAACAGGACCCTACTATAATAATATTATTAGTAGGTATCCTTCAGATCTCTATAGTGTAGCTATAGGTAAAGAAGGCTATATTAGTAGGTATACCTTAACCTAAAATTGTTAAGGCGCGTTAAGAGATAATGTTAAATAGAAGTTTTACTAAAAATAAGATATTCTAAATAGTAAATATCTTCCTAACTTTAGTATTACTATTAGTTAGGGTAATTAGTATTTAAACAGTGCTAATATAGGTAATGTTAATTATCCCCTCTACGCTAATAATCTGCTAACCAGGTAGTACTTTGCGTATTTTGCCTATAAAGTATTTAGATAAGCTAGTATAATAGGCTTTTACTCTACTATCTAGTACCTAGTTAGACTCCAAGAGGCGGCTATTTAGTGTAGCTAGCACTGTAATATTTATAGGTATTACGTCCTTATTAAGTTAATTATCCTTAGGCCTATATACTCTTATAACCGCCGTTAGCTAAGTAAAGAGCTTAGTTTTAATTTATTATTATACAGCGTTACCTATAGTTATTATATTAGTATAATTACATTTAGCTCCCTTTTAGCGGCTATCCTTATTAAGTTTCTTAAAATACGCCTACTGTAGCTACTTATTTCTGAGAAAATAATAGCAGTAACCCTTTATTACTTCCTTAGGTACTTTGGCGTATATATACTCTAGGGCCTAAGGGCCGGTGTAGTAAGTACATTTCTTACTACTACCCCCTTAGTTACTTCTACTCTAGCCCCGTAAGCGTTGTCTACTAAATAAGGTAAGAATAATAGAGTTAGTACCAGCCTTAGTAAGTCTTTATTATTCCTTACTAATAATATTAGTAGTAAGTTTATTAAAGTCCTTTAGATTTTTGAGGTTAATAATTAATAGGTTATTATATAGGACGCTAATCTAGTAATTATAGAAGTTGTTAAGGTTACATAGAAACTAGAGGTTTATAAGCTACAGAGGTAAAATATAGTTTTTATTAACTAATTAAAAATGTTACTAAATTGTATTTAGCTTATCTTAAAATTATATAACTAAGCTATAATTTATAAGGTTAGACTCTAGGAATTATTAAAATAGGATATATAGATAGGCGCTCCTAGAGGCTTTATACATGCTAAGGCACGTAAACGCCTCTTACAGTACGCTATAATCTTGAATTATTAATTAAACTATTAGCGTAAGGGTATTACGTAGTAGTTTAAGGGCAAGCAGTACATTATTAGGGTAGTACTTAGTAATGTTATTCTTAGGATTAAATTAGGGCTTAAAGAAAGACTAGAACCTTAACGTAATAGTAATTAATTTAAATTTATTGCGCTATTTATTATAGTTCTAGGGCCCTTCTAATTTTAGCTACCCTTCCTAAGCTATTAACCTAAGCGCTGTATTTATATTAGGGCAATTTCTTAAGGGGTTCTCTGTAAGTCTAATAGCTATTTTAATAACTTATTCTATTATAAACATCCTAGCTGTAATAGCCTAACCTAAGACTAGCTGCACTGCAGCTAACCCTAGGACTAACCTTATAGCGCTTGTTTTAGCGCTAGTGTTTTTATTATTAGTTAGTCCTGCCGTTGCAGGACCTGTTAAATTAGCTAGTGTTAGTGCTATATATATATTATTAACGTTAGGTAGTAATCTCTGCTGTTACAGAGTTACTTATTTATACGTTTCTTAAGCCTTATAGGCTTATTAAGTCTCTATTCTAGTAGTAGTACTGTTAGTATAATCTAAAGAGGGCAATTTGTCGTTATTAGATAGAGGTTAGTTAGGCAGAGGGGTAAAGTCTAAGGTACCTATTTATATTTTACGTTACATAGGCTCTAGTAGTTTATTAATATATAAGCTAAGGTCTATTATTGCAGTGCACTTTTGCGCACTACGCATATTTAATAGCAGTAGTACTAGCGTTTTTAACTAAATAGGAGCTGTCTACTACTGTAACATATTTTTAAATTTTAGCAAAATAGCTAAAGATTAGAGGCTATAAAGTTAGTTATTATTATTATTAAGTTATTAATCGTGTAGTTAAAGTTCCTAAATTTTTAAATACTTAGCAGGGGCTGCTATTTAGGTTTAGCTCTATTAATTTATAGCTAGTAAGGATTTAAGTAAAACAGTGTTTTAGTTACCCAATCTATCGTCTTACCCAAGCCCTTTAAGACTTTAATTCGATAGCTCTACTCCCCTACGGTATCCCCTAGATAATTATTAGAAGAACTGCAAACATTAATTATTTAGGTTAGGTATTAAGTTGGGTATTATCTACCCTTCCTAGCCTATACTTTTAATTATTAGTTAAGCATTTTATTAGATATTTAGTTATAACGCTTTAGGTTTTAGCTGCTTATAGACAGAATAACTACAGCGCTAGGTACCTGGGAACTATTATTATATAAGTCTTTTTATACATTTAAACGCAGTTGTAGCTGCTTTTAATTTATAAGACTTTTTATTAATAAAGCTATACTTTTATTATTAAAACTAGGGGGATTTATTTATATTTTGCTAGTCTTAACGCGATTATAGCGTAGGGTATAAGGGTAGTTAACCCCTTTACTCTAAACGTATACGCTAATTTTATATTTCTAGGGATAAAGGTAATCCCTAGCGTCTATAATAATAGGTAACTCCCTTTATTTATATCCTTTAATAGAGTAAACTTGTCTTAGGATTTAGAGAGGTAGCTCTAAGTACCCGTTTAGGATGGCTTTAATTATGCCCTTTTTAGGCGTAATCTTTTTAAATTAACGTTTAACAGCATTAGCTATCTCTTTAGCTTATTATTTAATAATAGGTATTTAGTAGTAATTACTTAGTAATACTGTTTCTTACACAATGCATATACTTATTAGGAGAACGTAGGTAGTAAGCTAATAAGTCCTTAATTAATTTATTTAGAGTAATTAGGCGCAGTAAAGCGCCAGGCTTATAACCTATTAAAAGGATAATTCTTTATTAACTAACTACCTAGGATAGCAGTAGAATATCTTATATACTTTATCTACTACTTACTTAGCTATCTATACTAACCTTATATTTAATATACCTTTCTTTAGGGAGAACTTATAGGGGAGACGATATATAACTAGCCTAGACTAAGGTCTGTATATCTACTAGGATACTAGCGTAATAGCTGTAAGCAGCCTATCTTGAAACATAGACTAAGGAGTCTAACATCTATATAAGTGTTTAGGTGTTAAGCCTAAACGCATAATAAAAGTAAACAGAGGTAGGAACCCTTTAGGGTGTACTATTAACTAATCCTAATGTCTTTAGATAGATTTAAGTAAGAGCATAGCTATTAGGACCTAAAAGATAGTAAACTATGCTTAAATAGGGTAAAGCTAGAGGAAACTCTAGTAGAGGCTTATAGCGGTTCTAATGTATAAATTAATTATTAAATTTAGGTATAGGGGTAAAAGACTAATTAAACTATCTAGTAGCTAGTTCCTACTAAAGTTTCCCTTAGGATAGTAGTAACATATTTAGTTTTATAAGGTAAAGTAAATAATTAGAGGCCTAGGGGTTAAAATAACCTTTACCTATTCTTAAACTTTAAATATGTAAGAAGTCTTTATTACTTAATTAAACATAGACACTTAAATGTACTATTACTAGTAGGCTATTTTTAGTAAGTAGAACTAGTAATACAGGATAAACTAAACGCAGGGTTAAGGTACTAGAATGTACGCTTATTAGATACTATAAAAGGTGTTAGTTTATCTAGATAGCAGGACAGTAGCTATAGAAGTTAGAATCTACTAAGGAGTGTATAATAACTTACCTGCTAAATAAACTAGCCCTAAAAATAGATAGCGCTTAAGTGTGTTACCTATACTCTACCGCTGGGGTAAGATTTAAGCCCTAGTAAGTAGGTAGGCGTAGAGGCTTATAACGAAGCCTTAGGGGTAACCCTAGGTAGAACAGCCTTTAGTGTAGATCTTAGTAGTAGTAGTAAATACTTAAATAAGAACTTTAAGGACTAAAGTAGAGAAAGGTTCCGTATAAATAGTAGTTAGACACAGGTTAGTTAATCCTAAGAGATAGGGTAATTCTGTTTTAATATAGGCGCTTATACCTTGCCCTTAAAAGGAAAGCTAGTTAATATTCTAGTACCTAGATATAGATTCTCTACGGTAACGTAACTAAGAGTAGAGACTTTAGTAGGAGCCTTAAAAAGAGTTCTCTTTTCTTCTTAATAGTTTATTACCCTAAAATTAGTTTATCTAGAGCTAGGGTTTAATAGCTAGAAGAGCACTGCACTTTTACAGCGTTTAGTGCACTCCTAATAAACCTTAAAAATCTACTTAAAGAAATAGTTTTTACGCTAGGTTATACTTATAACTATAGTAGGTCTCTAAGGTAAAAAGCCTCTAGTTAATAGAATAATATAGATAAGGGAAGTTAGTAAAATAGATCTGTAACTTTAGGAAAAGGATTAGCTCTAAGGGTTAAGTACGTTAGGCCTTAGGGAGAAGTCTCTAGCGTAGAAGGGCACTAACCGCAAGGTAGGCGCCTTTTAGCGCTAGGGTACAGGTACCTTTAGTAGGCTTCAGCCGTCCGGCGTATACTTAATAACTAACTTAGAACTAGTATAGATAAGGGGAATCTAACTATCTAATTAAAATATAGTATTACAATAGTTAGAAAGTAGTATTAATATAATGTAATTTCTGCCTAGTGCTCTAAATATTAAAGCAAAGAGATTTAACTAAGCGTAGGTAAATAGTAGGAGTAACTATAACTCTCTTAAGGTAGCTAAATACCTTGTTATCTAATTAGTAATGCGTATAAATAGATTAATAAGATTTCTACTATCCCTATCTACTATCTAGCGAAACTACAGCCAAGGGAACAGGCTTAGCTAAATTAGTAGGGAAAGAAGACCCTGTTAAGCTTAACTCTAGTTTAATATTATAAAAAGACATAGGGGGTGTAGAATAGGTAGGAGCTTTAGCGCTAGTAAAATACTACTACTCTTATTATTTTTTTACTTATTTAATAAAGCGGAGCTAAGCCTTACTATCTAACTTCTAGTGTTAAGGTCCTTTATAGGCTAATCTGGGTTAAAGACATTATTAGGTAGGGAGTTTAGCTAGGGCAGTACATCTGTTAAACTATAACGTAGGTGTCCTAAGGGGGACTTATAGAGAATAGAAATCTCTAGTAGAGTAAAAGGGCAAAAGTCCCCTTAATTTTAATTTTTAGTGTAAATATAAACTATAAAAGTGTAGCCTATTAATTCTTTAGTCCCTTAAAATTTAAGGCTAGAGGTACTAGAAAAGTTACTATAGGGATAACTAGCTTATAGTAGCTAAGCGTTTATAGTAACGTTGCTTTTTAATCCTTTAATATTAGCTCTTCCTATTATACTAAAGTAGAATTTAGTAAGCGTTAGATTATTTACCTACTAATAGGGAATATAAGCTGGGTTTAGACTATTATAAGATAGGTTAGTTTTACCCTACTAATAACCTTACCCTAATAGTAATTCTGCTTAGTATAAGAGAAACTGTAGATTTAGATAATTAGTTTTTATAGCTATCTAACTAGGTATTACCGCAAAGCTACTATCTACTAGATTATAGCTAAACGCCTCTAAGTTAGAATCTATACCAGAATAGGATAATTTCTGCCTACACTAGTTAGATATAAATAGGCCTTTAGCCTAGAACCTTACTAGGCCGGCGTCTACAGCCCTATTAAAGTTAAGGTTACTAGCTAGTATATTATAATTATATAGTGCACAGGATTAAATCCTTTATAGATAACTTAGTTATCTAGCTAGGTTGTGTAAGTAGTTAAGTAGCCTTATAGTTATAAGCTACTAAGCGTAAGCCTACCGCTAGCTTAGTTAAAAATAGGAATACCTTCCTCCCTATTTAGAAAGTTAAGGCCCTAAAGGCCGGCCTATAAAAGGGGAGATAGGGGGGGGGCTACTAGCAGTTCTAGGGTAGTAATTCCCCTATTACTTTAGTAGCTTCTAGTTATAGGTACCCGGTTTTAGTAGTAGCCTACTAGAGAGTATCTCTCTAGGTAGGTAGTTACCCTTACTAGCTCTAGTTATAAACCCCCTATTACTTATTTCTAAATTAAGAGCAGGCCTTGGGGGAAATAGGACTAGAGCTAAACCCCCTATTACTTACCGCAAAACCCCCTATTACTTACCCCCTATTACAGCAGGGGCCTTGGGGGGGGAGCCCCCTAAAATAATAGGCAGTCTAGGGAGGTAAGCC